AGTAATTGAAATTTCTCATCGTTGAACTTCATATTGTTTTCTGCAGCCCACTGAAAGATTTGGTTGATGTCCGCCTGGAGCCTTGCAGTGTCTGCAATGGAAGACACTGTCATGCAGATTCGGGTGTCATCTGCAAAGGAAGACACGGTGCTGTGGCTGACATCCTTGTCTATGTCGGATTATGAGGATGAGGAACAAGATGGGAGCTAGTACTGTGCCTTGTGGGACAGAGCTTGTCACCGTAGCTGCCTCGGACTTTACTCTGTTGACGACTACTCTCTGTGTTCTGTTAGTGAGGAAATTATAGATCCATCGACCGACTTTTCCTGTTATTCCTTTAGCGCGCATTTTGTGCGCTATTACGCCATGGTCACATTTGTCGAAGGCTTTTGCAAAGTCTGTATATATTACATCTGCATTCTTTTTGTCTTCTAGTGCATTTAGGACCTTGTCGTAGTGATCCAGTAGTTGAGACAGACAGGAGCGACCTGTTCTAAACCCATGTTGCCTGGGTTGTGTAACTGAGGGTTTCTAGATGGGTGGTGATCTTGCTTCTTAGGACCCTTTAAAAGATTTTTATGATATGGGATGTTAGTGCTATTGGTTGTAGTTCTTTGCTGTTGCTTTACTGCCCCCTTTGTGGAGTGGGGCTATGTCTGTTGTTTTTAGTAACTGAGGGACGACCCCCGGTCCATGCTCCCTCTCCATAGGATGGAAAAGGCTCGTGATAGGGGCTTCTTGCAGTTCTTGATGAACACAGATTTTCCATGAGTTTTGGCCCTGGGGCAGAGTGCATGGGCATGTCATTTATCGCCTGTTGGGAAGTCATTTGGCGTCAGGATAACATCGGATAGGCTTGTGTTAGTCAAATTTTGTGGCTCTCTCATAAAAAATTCATTTTGGTCTTCGACTCTCAGTCTGGTTAGCGGCTTGCTAAAAACTGAGTCATATTGGGACTTGAGTAGCTCACTCATTTCCTTGCTGTCATCTGTGTAGGACCCATCTTGTTTAAGTAGGGGCCCAATACTGGACGTTGTTCTCGATTTTGATTTGGCATAGGAGAAGAAAATATTTTGGTGTTTCTTTCGATTTCATTTATGGCTTTTAGTTCTTCCCCGCGATTCCTGACTCCTAAAGGATTCTTTTAGCTTAAGTTCGATGCTTGCTATTTCTCTGACCAGTGTCTCCCTGCGCATTTCAGATATATTGACCTCTTTTAGCCGCTCTGTTATTCTTTTCCGTCGCCTGAAAAGGGGGAGCGCCTGTCTCTTTCTATTTTACATCTACTCCTCCTTTTTCTTAGAGGAATAAGCCTTGTGCATACATCGAGTGCCACCGAGTTAATCTGTTCTAGGCATAAGTTTGGGTCTGTGTTGCTTAGTATATCTTCCCAGCTTTATCGGTTAGGACTTGGTTTACTTGGTCCCACTTTATGTTTTTGTTATTGAAGTTGAATTTGGTGAATGCTCCCTCATGACTAGTCTCATTTTGTCGGTCTGGGGCTCCATGCATACTTTGTCTGAACCTCAATTATTTTGTGATCTGAGTATATTGTTTTTGATAGGGGTAAACATTTCTTATCAGATCATCATTTTTTAGTGAAGATGAGGTCTAGTGTATTCTCCAGTCTTGTAGGCTCTTTATTTGCTGGTTTAAATTGAATTTTGTGCAGAGATTTAAAAGCTCGTGTGAGTGTGGTTTTCATCAGAGCTGCCTCCTGGTGTTATTTCTGCAACAATATTATTTGCTATATTCCTCCATTTTAGGTGCCTTAAGTTGAAATCCCCCAGGAGCAAGATTTTTGGGTGCAGGGCTGGAGATTTTCCAGACAGTGGTCAATTTTTAACAGCTGTTCCTGGAATTGCTGGGATGTTGCATCCGGAGGCTTGTAGACTACCACAATGACTAGGTTTTGGTTTTTCGACCTTTACTGCTAAAACTTCCACTACGTCATTTGAGGCATTAAGCAGTTCTGTGCAAACAAGTGACTCTGCAATTTTACAGGCCAACCCCCCTTTTGCCTGTTCACTCTGTCACATCTGTATAGGTTGTAACCTGGGATCCATACTTCGTTGCCCAAAGTGATCCTTTATGTGGGTCTCAGTGAAAGCCGCGAACATTGCCTTTGCCTCTGCAAGCAGTCCACGGATGAAAGGTATTTTGTTGTTTGTGGGCTGGCTTTAGACCCGTATATTTGCAAAGAAGAATGTTGTCGGACTGGTGGTATTGTTGGTACTGGGGGGGGATTTTTTTTCCGGCATTAGTATCTGTATCTGTTGGTTTGGAGTGGGGGGCCATCGACTGTGGTTCCACTCCAGGAATGACTGGATTTTGGTGTACGATTTTTTGCCTTTTCCTGCCAGTTTTTTTTCCTTCCTGGCACTAAAAAACCTCTCCCTCATGAGTGGCTGTGGCTACCCAGGTTTTCCCCTGGCCTGGATTTTTGTATCTTTTTGTCCCCTTTAGATGGTATGCCTGGCAATTTAAGTTATAGCACAGTTTTCCTGTACTGAAGAGGTACACATTTTCAGGGTGAAAAAGCTTACAGGAAGGGAGTTTGCATTTTCCTGTTTTCATATGGGCATGGCATTTTCTAGGGTGGTCATAGTTGCATGTCCCATCTGTTTTTCCAGATTTCCCATGCCAGAGATACCAAGTGCATTTGTATGTGCACAGGCTTGGTTTCCGCTTGCCTTGGGTTTCTGTGACTGTATTCCCCGTTGGTGCATGTTTCCCTGTCTTACTTTATCCTCCCTAAACACCAACAATGGAGCTCCACCAGTTGTTTTTGGTAATTTATCCTCAATTGCTATTGGAGTCCTCTTGTTTGCTATTTCCCGCGGTATTTCTAGTTTGCAATATTGGTTTTATCTTATCTTTGACTACACTTGTTTCCCCAAATATGGTCCTGTTTCCCCCATGAGGTCATTTATATGTATTCCTTCCTGCGTATAATTCCCGACTCCCTGGACAATATCTCCAGCTTCACCATTTCTGTCTCCCAGGACAGTATCTCCAGCTTCACCATTTCTGTCTCCCAGGACAGCACCTCCAGCTTCACCATTACTGTCTCCCAGGACAGTATCTCCAGCTTCACCATTTTTGTCTCCAGGACAGCACCTCCAGCTTCACCATTTCGTCTCCCAGGACAGTATCTCCAGCTTCACCCCTTTCTGTCCCAGGACAGCACCTCCAGCTTCACCATTACTGTCTCCCAGGACACCTCCAGCTTCACCATTTCTGTCTCCCAGGACAGCACCTCCAGCTTCCCATTACTGTCTCCCAGGACAGCACCTCCGTACACCATTACTGTCTCCCCGGACAGCACTATCAGCCCCACATTTACTGACTACCAGGACATCACCTCACAGCCCTTTCAGTTTATGACTACATGGCCAGTATCAAGGGCAGTACCATTCAGCCCCAGACATTTTATGTTCCCATCTGTTGTAGAAAGCTTCCAGGTTTTCTATGAAAGCAGCTTTGATGTTGTCCTCTTTTAATACCCTTGTGATTTTAGTCCACAGTTTTTTCCTCATTTTGAGCATACCCAAAAACACTTCTCTGTTTTAATACTGCTTGTAGCTAGTTTGGGATATCTGCACAAGGGGCGTGAACCAATTCCACAAAAAAAGACAATTTATCCATGTGGAAGCCCGTTTGTTTGACTGACCACAGACTACACAGGGTTCATAATGATTTGAATGGTTGATTTACTGCAATTCTACTAGCAACTCTTGAAAATTCTATTAATAACCTTAAATGAAGCTCTAGTATTTGTATTTTGTTTCCTAACTCTTTTTGTATATTGGACAGCTTACCGTCACGTTCCTGATTTTTAATGTTTGTGTTTATAGGGCGGCCTACAACCCCATCCGTTTACAGTCTGCTTTATTGTCCAACGAAACTGTTTGAAACCAGTCCCGGGTTTGGACCCGTCAAGGGTTCGGACCAGGCAAGGGTTCGGGCCCGTCGATCTGCTCTGATCAGTGGGTTTACTTATTTAAAAAAATACTGGTCGGTGATTGAGCTAACACATGAAGGATCTACTGGAAATTATCTACCGAGTAATATGTGATTTGACTGATACAAAGTATAACTTGCGTGTTGAAGAGCCGGGTGATATCTGGCAGCTCCTACAATGACGAACGGTCACCTCCTTGTTTATCAATCGTGTATCTGGCTTTTCTCTTTTTTTTTTTTTTTTTTTTTTTTTTTTTTTTTTTTTTTTTCCTTTTTTCCGTCTCCACCACAAAAAAATGCTATATTATCACTATAGTTGACTGGTGCAAATTTTGGAGGAAGGACGCTTTTTCTGTAGTAATAATTGCTTCTCGTTGTGTATATTGCGACTGCTGGTAACTACAGGTTATATGAAATTCACAGTAAAAGTCTCGTATATTTCAAGAAAAAGAAATAATGAAAGTCACTCCACTCCACTAAGTACCATTATAATATGGTTAGTTGCTACTTCAACACTGTATTTTGCTAATCACTGGTATCGCTAGATTTTTATGCGAGTACACTGGCAAGCCAGGAAGATTTTTAAAAAAACAGCTGACCTGTGGGTAAGTTCTGGCGACTTCTGGCACCTGCCTCTATAGGCTTATCACTTCATTTACAAATTCACCTGTTTTCAATGACACTTTAGCCTTTTATCATCAATATACTAGGGAGCCACTGTAGTATACACTATACACTATGTATACTCAATGTTATCAGGGAGACTTTCTTTCCTCTGACATGAAAAGTTCAATTATTATTTTTTTCCACACGGGACAGGCCTATGATTCCCCTCTGGCAGTAAACTCTGCTAGTGCACACTAATTCTCCTTTTTTGACTCAGTATATAATGTTTTCCGCCCAAGATTTGTTCCAGGCGCTAGAGGGATGTATCGTATAGGATTGATGACACAAATTAAAGTTCTAGCACGTAAGAGCGACCGTGAAAACACGAAAAACCCGGAGCACAACGAGGCACGCAACTAATCCACCAACAATAACATAATAAGATAAACAATTTTTATTATAACAAACATCATTAATATAAAACAATTATGGAATTAATCCTACTTTACGAAAAATTAAATATATAAATAATTAGTGATTAGTGATATAAATAATTAGTGTAGAATGGTGCCGTGCCAATGTTCTGGGCACATAGTATTGAATGATTCTGGAGCTCAATGCCGTTGTCGATGATGGTGGGAGGAGTCACAGCTGATCTTGACTAGACAGTCGACGGTGTCCACAACACGATTATATTCTGCCGAGGAGAGGTTGACTGATCCTCTGATCACCGCAAAGTTGAACAAAGTTGAAGTAGTTAATTAGCCAATCCTAAACCACCATGAACGCTGGTGCCGCAACAACTGGGAGAAGGCTGCTTGTATGGTGTGTAGTGGACTGGGTGGTTGGCTATGTGTGGAAAAAGGGGCGGGAACCAGTGTAGGTAGAGAGGTGCAGTTGAAGGCTCTGGATCTTGGCAAGATCCCTACTGTCTTTATTTTATCTTGCGTGCGTCGGATGACCCGAGTTGACAATCAAGGCTACAATGAAGAAAAAAAAAACAGTTACACACTACTCGAAAAATCACTCACACAATAGGCATACGGTTTTTAAATGAAATGGTGAAGATTGACAAATGACATAACTGTAAATTCAAAGCAAGGCAGGAATAAACTTAAGTCTAAAACCCTAAATAAGAGTGAAGCTCTTATTAAGACAAACCTAAAACAGAATAAATTAGACTGGAGTGGAACGAAAACGTGCAGATTTGATGGAAGCAGCCAGTCAAGTGATTCACCACAGGCTGGAGATGCTCACGTCACCTCCCAACAGGTGTAAAAGGGGTGGAGAGGGACAGCGGGAGCTAGGCACCCACCCTACCTGAACATGCAGACTGCCCCACACACTACCAGCACCAGACATTCATACTTTCACTACCCCTCTCTAATGAGCTTTTCCCTCACACTGCCGTGGTGAGAGAAAGTGTTGCACTTTTGTCTCTCATCCACCCCATCTTTTGTCTGGTGATTTCTTTGGTTTTGGGGCAATACATGTTTGACTGTGGATAAAAGGAGTCTTTAACACCCGAAACTATAGCTCAAATCATAGAGCCTCCCAAAGCTGGGCACCAGATGAAAGAAATAGTGGAGAATGTTGGTGTGTGTGTGAGTGTTCAGTGAGGAACTGGGTGCAGCATTTCAAGGCTTCTGACGGTGTTGAGATACCATCTGCCAAACCTCGGCCTGACCTCGTACCTTAACAATGTTAAAGAAGCAGTTAGAGAGTACACCTAAGATAACTGCTAGAGAACTGAAAGAAAAAAAGACATGTCTTCTCTCAGAGGTGTATGTTAGAACTGTTAATAGACGTGTGTCAAAATTGGGCTACAGTAGTCACCACCAGGTAAAGAAACTGATCCTCTCCAAGCCAAAGAAGAAACGTAGGCTGGATTATGCAAAAAAATATCTTCACTGGAATCCTCAACAGTAGTCTGAAGTACTTTGGAGTGATGAAGCAACCTTCACTGTCACGTGTAACCATGGTGAACATGTGTACCAGCCCAGAGATAGTGACCCGCTAGACCCACGCTACATCTGTGGGACCACCAAATACCCAGACTCGCTCATGGTTTAGGGGTGTTTCAGTGCTCAGAGTGTTGGTGATCTCATTGTGCTTCCCAAAAAAACAGTATAATTACCTGGAGATATTGTGTGACAATTTACCTTAGGCATTTGACAAGTGTGGGGCTATGGTTTTTATGCAGGATGGTGCACCGAGTCGTACTGCTAAATCTGTAGTTCAGTGGCTTAAGGACTGTGAAGTGAGGTTCTTTAATGACTGGCCAGGTAATTCCCCAGACCTAAACCTTATTGAGAACCTCTGGTCAATAGTGAAACGATGTTTACTGGGCAAGAATATCAGTTCCATCCCACTGCTGGAGGCTGCTCTACATGAGGCATCAAATAATATACTTCCCCAAACCCTCAAGAATTTGTGTGAGAGTCTTCCTATGTGATTAAGCGTAAAGGACGCAACACCAAGTATTAAAATCTCAGTGTGTAAATATATATATATATATATATAATATATATATATATATATATATATATATATATATATATATATATAATAATATATATAAATATATATATATATACATATATATTATAATCTTTAATGGTATGTGTTTGCGTTTTGGTACATGTGTGGGGAAGGGGCGGCATAATGCCGTGACGAGCACTGTATATGGCTCGCATATCCCAAAATGTGATACAGTCATGTTTCTCGGCCTTTTGTTTGACCGTCGGTTATCCTGAAAACCTCACATTACCTCTCTGAAGACAACTTGTTATAGCCGGCTGAACCTTCTTAAAACCCTCGCTCATCTTTTATGGGGAGCTGATTGTAGAACTCTCCTTCGACTACATTCAACCCTAATTTTACCGAAACTCGATGATGGCGACCAAATATATTAAGCGGTCTCTCCTGCAACTCGTTCTATAGGAGGCCTGGTCACAGACCGGGCCGCGGGGGCGTTGACCCCCGGAACTCTCTCCAGGTAAACTCCAGGTATAGAGCCTTAAACCATCTGTCTCGGTGCTTGTCGCTTTTCACCAGTTGAGAGCCTCTATGCAGACGCAAACATTCCATCCTTGTCTGATCGACGTGATGCTCATTGTCTTCGCTATAATGTTCGCTCTCATCATCTCCCCAATCCTTCCATGTATGAGATAGTCACTGATGTTAGTAGACGTTCTTCATTTGTTCGTTGCCCCTGTTTACCCCGTCCCTTTTCTCTTCACCTACATTCGCTCTTGTCTTCTCTTCAGTTACGACTAACTATGTTCATGTAGCATCTCACTTTTCCCTACCCCCTTGGGAAGTCTGATGGTTTGTGTTTGTTCTTTCCCACTGCCAGGCGCGAAAGCCCAACTGCCTAAGGTGGCTTCTCACTCTCTTTTTCTTAACCACTTCCGATCTCATTCTCATGCCATCGCAGAGTACACCGATGGTTCCAAGTCTTCTGACGGCATTGGATTCGCAGCAGTGTTTTTGGACAGCATCGCGCGAGGGCATTTATTATCCTCAGCTAACATTTTTATGGCTGAATTGTATGCCATTTTCGTAGCACTTATCCGTATTGCATATATGCCTGTGTCACCATGTGTGGTCGTTTCAGACTCCCTTAGTGCTTTACAGGCTACAAGAAAATTTGATACACCTCATCCCCTGGTTCTTGATATCCATTTTAGTTATGCCGTATTTCTAGCAAGCACAAAGATATTGTTTTTTGTTGGGTCCCCGGTCATGTTGATGTACAAGGCAATGAACAGGCAGACACTGCTGTGTCTTTGAAGATCGTGTACTGCTGACCTGGAGTTTACCTGGAGAGAGTTCCGGGGGTCAACGCCCCCGAGGCCCGGTCTGTGACCAGGCTCTGATCCACCAGGAGGCCTGGTCACAGACTGGGCCGCGGGGGCGTTGACCCCCGGAACTCTCTCCAGGTAAACTCCAGGTAAACTCCAGGTCAGCAGTACACAATCTTCAAGTTTCATATAGAGGTATGTAGGTGAATGGTTCAGAGAACCGACAGGTTGATAAATTACACATGTGCAACACTTGGGTATTGAAACGTTTCCTCATTAAAGATGCACAAGTGTTGCACATGTGTCTAAGTCATCATACAGAGGTGTTCCATTCACAGAGTATTTTGCTGTAATTGCTACTCACCTTCATACCCGTTGGCAACAACATTGGTTTGATATGCTACATAAATTACATTCTGTTAAACCATGCATAGGTTTCTGGCCGCTTTCGTGTCATCACTGTCGAGGTTGGGAGACTACACTCTTCCATCTTCACATCGGCCACACTCGTCTTACTCATGGGTACCTCCTAGAGAGGCGCCCTGTTTCACTCTGTGAGAATTGTCAGGTTCCAGTTTCTGTTAGCCATATTCTATTGGACTGCCCACTGTATCAAAAAGCACGCAGAATTTACTTCTAATGTCATCATCGCTCTACTGCCCTTACTTTACCTTCCCTTCTTGCTGATGAACTCTCTTGTAACCCAGACTCTCTCCTTGACTTTTTGACAGCAACTGATTTACTGCACAAACTCTGATGATGCCTCTAGCACTCCTCACAGCCCTTTATACCTCAGTCTCTTGCTACCCTCTACCCCTACACTATCCACTGCCCCACTGCACTCCATGACCTCATAATAATCCCTCTCTCTTGCTACCCAATACCCCTGTACCCTTCCCTGCCCTGCTGCGCTGTATGACCCTTGTGGGTTTAGCGCTTCTTTTTTTATTATAATCTGCATACTGAGGAGCTCTTCGCATGTTGCAAGTTGAAGACCAGCAGTCCCTTCAAGGCAGTCCCTTCAAGGCAGTCCCTTCAAGGCAGTCCCTTCAAGGCAGTCCCTTCAAGGCAGTCCCTTCAAGGCAGTCCCTTCAAGGCAGTCCTTTCAAGGCAGTCCCTTCAAGGCAGTCCCTTCAAGGCAGTCCTTTCAAGACAGTCCCTTCAAGGCAGTCCCTTCAAGGCAGTCCCTTCAAGGCAGTCCCTTCAAGGCAGTCCCTTCAAGGCAGTCCCTTCAAGGCAGTCCCTTCAAGGCAGTCCCTTCAAGGCAGTCCTTTCAAGGCAGTCCCTTCAAGACAGTCCCTTCAAGGCAGTCCCTTCAAGGCAGTCCCTTCAAGGCAGTCCCTTCAAGCCAGTCCCTTCAAGGCAGTCCCTTCAAGGCAGTCCCTTCAAGGCAGTCCTTTCAAGGCAGTCCCTTCAAGGCAGTCCCTTCAAGGCAGTCCTTTCAAGGCAGTCCCTTCAAGGCAGTCCCTTCAAGGCAGTCCCTTCAAGGCAGTCCTTTCAAGGCAGTCCCTTCAAGGCAGTCCCCTTCAAGGCAGTCCCTTCAAGGCAGTCCTTTCAAGGCAGTCCCTTCAAGGCAGTCCCTTCAAGGCAGTCCCTTCAAGGCATTCCCTTCAAGGCAGTCCCTTCAAGGCAGTCCCTTCAAGGCAGTCCCTTCAAGGCAGTCCTTTCAAGGCAGTCCCTTCAAGGCAGTCCCTTCAAGGCAGTCCCTTCAAGGCAGTCCTTTCAAGGCAGTCCCTTCAAGGCAGTCCCTTCAAGGCAGTCCCTTCAAGGCAGTCCCTTCAAGGCAGTCCCTTCAAGGCAGTCCCTTCAAGGCAGTCCTTTCAAGGCAGTCCCTTCAAGGCAGTCCCTTCAAGGCAGTCCCTTCAAGGCAGTCCCTTCAAGGCAGTCCCTTCAAGGCAGTCCCTTCAAGGCAGTCCCTTCAAGGCAGTCCCTTCAAGGCAGTCCCTTCAAGGCAGTCCCTTCAAGGCAGTCCCTTCAAGGCAGTCCCTTCAAGGCAGTCCCTTCAAGGCAGTCCCTTCAAGGCAGTCCCTTCAAGGCAGTCCCTTCAAGGCAGTCCCTTCAAGGCAGTCCTTCAAGGCAGTCCCTTCAAGGCAGTCCTTCAAGGCAGTCCCTTCAAGGCAGTCCCTTCAAGGCAGTCCCTTCAAGGCAGTCCCTTCAAGGCAGTCCCTTCAAGGCAGTCCTTCAAGGCAGTCCTTCAAGGCAGTCCCTTCAAGGCAGTCCTTTCAAGGCAGTCCCTTCAAGGCAGTCCCTTCAAGGCAGTCCCTTCAAGGCAGTCCCTTCAAGGCAGTCCCTTCAAACACGTCATTAGATTCTTGATCCGAGGAATTGGATCTCTTGTATAAAACATGTGTAACAGTTGAGTATATAGTGATGAAAGTTTTCACCTACACAGTAGGCTTCTTCAGTCAAATATGGAGGGCAGGTGCAGTAGTGAAATAATGAGGGACTAATTACATCATTTCACTAGTACACCTGCTGCCTCTGTGTTTGACTGAAGAAGCCTACTGTGTAGGCGAAACTTTTCATCAAAAGAGATACCCAAATGTTGCACATGTGTCTTAATCATCAACTTTCTGCATGTTATTTAAACGTCATCCACCTCTGTTTAAGCATCATGCACCTCTGTTTAAGCATCATGCATCTCTGTTTAAGCATCATGCACCTCTGTTTAAGCATCATGCATCTCTGTTTAAGCATCTTGCATCTCTGTTTAAGCATCATGCATCTCTGTTTAAGCATCATGCACCTCTGTTTAAGCATCATGCATCTCTGTTTAAGCATCATGCACCTCTGTTTAAGCATCTTGCATCTCTGTTTAAGCATCATGCATCTCTGTTTAAGCATCATGCATCTCTGTTTAAGCATCTTGCATCTCTGTTTAAGCATTATGCATCTCTGTTTAAGCATCATGCATCTCTGTTTAAGCATCATGCATCTCTGTTTAAGCATTATGCATCTCTGTTTAAGCATCATGCACCTCTGTTTAAGCATCTTGCATCTCTGTTTAAGCATCATGCATCTCTGTTTAAGCATCATGCACCTCTGTTTAAGCATCTTGCATCTCTGTTTAAGCATCATGCATCTCTGTTTAAGCATTATGCATCTCTGTTTAAGCATCATGCATCTCTGTTTTAAGCATCATGCATCTCTGTTTAAGCATCATGCATCTCTGTTTAAGCATTATGCATCTCTGTTTAAGCATCATGCATCTCTGTTTAAGCATCATGCACCTCTGTTTAAGCATCTTGCATCTCTGTTTAAGCATCATGCATCTCTGTTTAAGCATCATGCACCTCTGTTTAAGCATCTTGCATCTCTGTTTAAGCATCATGCATCTCTGTTTAAGCATCATGCACCTCTGTTTAAGCATCTTGCATCTCTGTTTAAGCATCATGCATCTCTGTTTAAGCATTATGCATCTCTGTTTAAGCATCATGCATCTCTGTTTAAGCATCATGCATCTCTGTTTAAGCATCATGCATCTCTGTTTAAGCATTATGCATCTCTGTTTAAGCATCATGCATCTCTGTTTAAGCATCATGCACCTCTGTTTAAGCATCTTGCATCTCTGTTTAAGCATCATGCATCTCTGTTTAAGCATCATGCACCTCTGTTTAAGCATCTTGCATCTCTGTTTAAGCATCATGCATCTCTGTTTAAGCATTATGCATCTCTGTTTAAGCATCATGCATCTCTGTTTAAGCATCATGCATCTCTGTTTAAGCATCATGCATCTCTGTTTAAGCATTATGCATCTCTGTTTAAGCATCATGCATCTCTGTTTAAGCATCATGCATCTCTGTTTAAGCATCATGCATCTCTGTTTAAGTGTCATGCACCTCTATTCAAGCATCCACCTCTGTTTAAGTGTCATCCACCTCTGTTTAAGCGTCATCCAACTCTGTTTAAGCGTCATCCACCTCTGTACTAACACTATCATACTAAAATAAAGAAGAATCTTTAATCTTGAAATATATTCTGTCTAGACCAGCTTGTCGGTGTCTATTACAAGGAATTATAACATCATTTATTGGTTGGCAACATTTACTGATGTAACATTTTTCTAGCTGATTAGCCCTAAGCCTTGATGCTAATGAGTGGGCTCTTGATCCAAGTGTCAGCATAGTTGCTGATCCCCTGTATATGTATATGTTATCTGAGTAGCATAGTACCATCCATATGTTTTACATAGTTGACCCCTTGCTAGGCTCAGTGACTAGCTTGTGTGACATCATGTGATGCCACATGAGAGCGCTGTGCTCCCGGCCTCGTCCTCACCCCACGCTTAGGTCTATGACAGGCAACACAGGCAGTCTGGGCTCCCCTCTCACACTCTGCTAATATAAGTATTACCATCCAATGACTGTATTTAACTCCAACCATCACATCTCCACGAACCCTCCCGACAAATGGTGCCAGTGGTGCGGGCATAAATTTGATATTTATGCAGATGTATGGAGATCATTTCTGTCAGCCGACGACAGACATTGTGTCGACCACGTGCTAACCTACCCAAGCAAGCGTCCACCAGCCTGTTTGCTTCCTGCTTACTGGTCAGTCTTTGTGTCTTAGTGTTTATCTGCTTATTTGCATTATTTCTGAGGGGTTGACTCTGGTTTGCAAATTAAGCCAAGCCACCAAGCCAGTCTGTGGGGGAGAGTCAAGCCCTACACCAGCCAATCTCTGTGATGCATTAAGCCAAGCAAGCCAGCCAGCTAACCCAGGTGACTAACTCAGTACTCAAGCAAGCCACATGAGTTCCAACCTTCACCATCACTTGTGCTCCAAGTTCCAAGCCATCCTGAGTGCTTGTATCATCCCTGTGGTGTTGTGGTATTTTGTGGGTTTTAAGCCAGCCTGGCTTAGAATATTCACGTGCCCAGTGCAGGTGTACCCGGAGCATGTGGATTACGGAGTTTTCCTGTAGGCCTAGCTACCACGCAGTGTCCCAGCGCGTTGCCTCAACCACCCACACCTTCCCACTACCACTGTTTTTTTTTACCCTTATAATGGGTCCTAGCACCTTATTTTTCGGACCACAAAGGGGTTCAAGATGCTAGATTGTCCCTTTGTCCTTGTGCGCCAACGTAAAAGCCTCCTGTGTGCGTTTATCATCGATTTAAGCAAAAATTCTTCGAGACGTCAATGCTTTTGAGAGTAGTGGAGAGCCACGCCAGCAACAACCACCCTTCTTCACCACCACTACCCTCATTCTTCACTAACGTCGCTCCAGTGATAAATATTTTTTTACACAGACATTTGTGAGTGTTGAGACATTTTTTTTTCTAAGTGATTTCTTAGTGACATTTCTTTTTCAGTGATTTCTTAGTGACATTCAGTGACTCTTGATTAGACTGTGTTCATTATATCCTGTTTGCAATTTTTTTTTTCTTTCTTCAGTGTTTAATTTTCATGCTTTATTTTTATGTTTACCTGGAGTTTACCTGGAGAGAGTTTCGGGGGTCAACGCCCCCGCGGCCCGGTCTGTGACCAGGCCTCCTGGTGGATCAGCGCCTGATCAACCAGGCTGTTGCTGCTGGCTGCACGCAAACCAACGTATGAGCCACAGCCCGGCTGATCAGGAACTGACTTTAGTTGCTTGTCCAGTGCCAGCTTGAAGACTGCCAGGGGTCTGTTGGTAATCCCCCTTATGTGTGCTGGGAGGCAGTTGAACAGTCTCGGGCCCCTGACACTTATTGTATGGTCTCTTAACGTGCTAGTGACACCCCTGCTTTTCATTGGGGGGATGGTGCATCGTCTGCCAAGTCTTTTGCTTTCGTAGTGAGTGATTTTCGTGTGCAAGTTTGGTACTAGTCCCTCTAGGATTTTCCAGGTGTATATAATCATGTATCTCTCCCTCCTGCGTTCCAGGGAATACAGGTTTAGAAACCTCAAGCGCTCCCAGTAATTGAGGTGTTTTATCTCCGTTATGCGCGCCGTGAAAGTTCTCTGTACATTTTCTAGGTCGGCAATTTCACCTGCCTTGAAAGGTGCTGTTAGAGTGCAGCAATATTCCAGCCTAGATAGAACAAGTGACCTGAAGAGTGTCATCATGGGCTTGGCCTCCCTAGTTTTGAAGGTTCTCATTATCCATCCTGTCATTTTTCTAGCAGATGCGATTGATACAATGTTATGGTCCTTGAAGGTGAGATCCTCCGACATAATCACTCCTAGGTCTTTGACGTTGGTGTTTCGCTCTATTTTGTGGCCAGAATTTGTTTTGTACTCTGATGAAGATTTAATTTCCTCATGTTTACCATATCTGAGTAATTGAAATTTCTCATCGTTGAACTTCATATTGTTTTCTGCAGCCCACTGAAAGATTTGGTTGATGTCCGCCTGGAGCCTTTCAGTGTCTGCAATGGAAGACACTGTCATGCAGATTCGGGTGTCATCTGCAAAGGAAGACACGGTGCTGTGGCTGACATCCTTGTCTATGTCGGATATGAGGATGAGGAACAAGATGGGAGCTAGTACTGTGCCTTGTGGGACAGAGCTTTTCACCGTAGCTGCCTCGGACTTTACTCTGTTGACGACTACTCTCTGTGTTCTGTTAGTGAGGAAATTATAGATCCATCGACCGACTTTTCCTGTTATTCCTTTAGCGCGCATTTTGTGCGCTATTACGCCATGGTCACACTTGTCGAAGGCTTTTGCAAAGTCTGTATATATTACATCTGCATTCTTTTTGTCTTCTAGTGCATTTAGGACCTTGTCGTAGTGATCCAGTAGTTGAGACAGACAGGAGCGACCTGTTCTAAACCCATGTTGCCCTGGGTTGTGTAACTGATGGGTTTCTAGATGGGTGGTGATCTTGCTTCTTAGGACCCTTTCAAAGATTTTTTATGATATGGATGTTAGTGCTATTGGTCTGTAGTTCTTTGCTGTTGCTTTACTGCCCCCTTTGTGGAGTGGGGCTATGTCTGTTGTTTTTAGTAACTGAGGGACGACCCCCGTGTCCATGCTCCCTCTCCATAGGATGGAAAAGGCTCGTGATAGGGGCTTCTTGCAGTTCTTGATGAACACAGAGTTCCATGAGTCTGGCCCTGGGGCAGAGTGCATGGGCATGTCATTTATCGCCTGTTCGAAGTCATTTGGCGTCAGGATAACATCGGATAGGCTTGTGTTAGTCAAATTTTGTGGCTCTCTCATAAAAAATTCATTTTGGTCTTCGACTCTCAGTCTGGTTAGCGGCTTGCTAAAAACTGAGTCATATTGGGACTTGAGTAGCTCACTCATTTCCTTGCTGTCATCTGTGTAGGACCCATCTTGTTTAAGTAGGGGCCCAATACTGGACGTTGTTCTCGATTTTGATTTGGCATAGGAGAAGAAATACTTTGGGTTTCTTTCGATTTCATTTATGGCTTTTAGTTCTTCCCGCGATTCCTGACTCCTAAAGGATTCTTTTAGCTTAAGTTCGATGCTTGCTATTCTCTGACCAGTGTCTCCCTGCGCATTTCAGATATATTGACCTCTTTTAGCCGCTCTGTTATTCTTTTCCGTCGCCTGTAAAGGGAGCGCCTGTCTCTTTCTATTTTACATCTACTCCTCCTTTTTCTTAGAGGAATAAGCCTTGTGCATACATCGAGTGCCACCGAGTTAATCTGTTCTAGGCATAAGTTTGGGTCTGTGTTGCTTAGTATATCTTCCCAGCTTATATCGGTTAGGACTTGGTTTACTTGGTCCCACTTTATGTTTTTGTTATTGAAGTTGAATTTGGTGAATGCTCCCTCGTGACTAGTCTCATTTTGTCGGTCTGGGGCTCCATGCATACATGTCTGAACCTCAATTATGTTGTGATCTGAGTATATTGTTTTTGATATGGTGACATTTCTTATCAGATCATCATTGTTAGTGAAGATGAGGTCTAGTGTATTCTCCAGTCTTGTAGGCTCTATTATTTGCTGGTTTAAATTGAATTTTGTGCAGAGATTTAAAAGCTCGTGTGAGTGTGAGTTTTCATCAGAGCTGCCTCCTGGTGTTATTACTGCAACAATATTATTTGCTATATTCCTCCATTTTAGGTGCCTTAAGTTGAAATCCCCCAGGAGCAAGATGTTGGGTGCAGGAGCTGGAAGATTTTCCAGACAGTGGTCATTTTTTAACAGCTGTTCCTGGAATTGCTGGGATGTTGCATCCGGAGGCTTGTAGACTACCACAATGACTAGGTTTTGGTTCTCGACCTTTACTGCTAAAACTTCCACTACGTCATTTGAGGCATTAAGCAGTTCTGTGCAAACAAGTGACTCTGCAATGTACAGGCCAACCCCCCCCTTTTGCCTGTTCACTCTGTCACATCTGTATAGGTTGTAACCTGGGATCCATACTTCGTTGTCCAAGTGATCCTTTATGTGGGTCTCAGTGAAAGCCGCGAACATTGCCTTTGCCTCTGCAAGCAGTCCACGGATGAAAGGTATTTTGTTGTTTGTAGCTGGCTTTAGACCCTGTATATTTGCAAAGAAGAATGTTATCGGACTGGTGGTATTGTTGGTACTGGGGGGGGATTTTTTTTCCGGCATTAGTATCTGTATCTGTTGGTTTGGAGTGGAGGCCATCGACTGTGGTTCCACTCCAGGAATGACTGGATTTGGTGTACGATTTCTGCCATTTCCTGCCAGTTTTTTTTCCTTCCTGGCACTAAAAAACCTCTCCCTCTTGAGTGGCTGTGGCTACCCAGGTTTTCCCATGGCCTGGATGTTTTGTATCTTTTTGTCCCCTTTAGATGGTATGCCTGGCAATTTAAGTTATAGCACAGTCTTTCCTGTACTGAAGAGGTACACATTTCAGGGTGAAAAAGCTTACAGGAAGGGAGTTTGCATTTTCCTGTTTTCATATGGGCATGGCATTTTCTAGGGTGGTCATAGTTGCATGTCCCATCTGTTTTTCCAGATTTCCCATGCCAGCAGATACCAAGTGCATAGTATGTGCACAGGCTTGGTTTCCGCTTGCCTTGGGTTTCTGTGACTGTATTCCCTGTTGGTGCATGTTTCCCTGTCTTACTTCTATCCTCCCTAGCACCAACAATGGAGCTCCCACCAGTTGTTTTTGGTAATTTATCCTCACTATTGCTATTGGAGTCCTCTTGTTTGCTATTTCCTGCGGTATTTCTAGTTTGCAATATTGGTTTTATCTTATCTTTGACTACACTTGTTTCCCTACTATGGCTCCTGTCCCCTATGAGATCATTTATATGTATTCCTTCCTGCGTATAATTCCCGACTACCTGGACAATATCTCCAGCTTCACCATTTCTGTCTCCCAGGACAGTATCTCCAGCTTCACCATTTCTGTCTCCCAGGACAGCACCTCCAGCTTCACCATTACTGTCTCCCAGGACAGTATCTCCAGCTTCACCATTTCTGTCTCCCAGGACAGCACCTCCAGCTTCACCATTTCTGTCTCCCAGGACAGTATCTCCAGCTTCACCATTTCTGTCTCCCAGGACAGCACCTCCAGCTTCACCATTACTGTCTCCCAGGACAGCACCTCCAGCTTCACCATTACTGTCTCCAGGACAGCACCTCCAGCTTCACCATTACTGTCTCCCAGGACAGCACTATCAGCCCCACATTTACTGACTACCAGGACATCACCTCCAGCCTTACAGTTTATGACTACATGGCCAGTATCAAGGGCAGTACCATTCAGCCCAGACATTTTATGTTCCCATCTGTTGTAGAAAGCTTCCAGGTTTTCTATGAAAGCAGCTTTGATGTTGTCCTCTTTTAATACCCTTGTGATTTTAGTCCACAGATTTTCCTCATTTGAGCATACCCAAAAACACTTCTCTGTTTTAATACTGCTTGTAGCTAGTTCTGGGATATCTGCACAAGGGGCGTGACACCAATTTCCACAAAAATGACAATTTATCCATGTGGAAGCCCGTTTGTTTGACTGACCACAGACTACACAGGGCTTCATAATGATTTGAATGGTTGATTTACTGCAAATTCTACTAGCAACCTCTTGAAAATTCTATTAATAACCTTAAATGAAGCTCTAGCTATTTGTATTTCTGTTTCTAACTCTTTTTGTATATTGGACAGCTTACCGTCACGTTCCTGATTTTTAATGTTTGTGTTTATAGGGCGCCTACAACCCCATCCGTTTACAGTCTGCTTTATTGTCCAACGAAACTGTTTGAAACCAGTCCCGGGTTCGGACCAGTCAAGGGTTCGGACCAGGCAAGGGTTCGGGCCAGACGATCTGCTCTGATCAGTGGGTCACTTATTTAAAACATACTGGTCGGTGATTTGAGCTAACACATGAAGGATCTACTGGAAATTATCTACCCGAGTAATATGTGATTTGACTGATACAAAAGTATAACTTGCGTGTTGAAGAGCCGGTGATATCTGGCAGCTCCTACAATGACGAACGGTCACCTCCTTGTTTATCAATCGCTGTATCTGGCTTTTCTCTTTTTTTTTTTTTTTTTTTCTTTTTTCCGTCTCCACCACAATAAATGCTATATTATCACTATAGTTGACTGGTGCAAATTTTGGAGGAAGGACGCTTTTTCTGTAGTAATAATTGCTTCTCGTTGTGTATATTGCGACTGCTGGTAACTACAGGTTATATGAAATTCACAGTAACGTCTCGTATTTCAAGAAAAAGAAACTAATGAAAGTCACTCCACTCCACTAAGTACCATTATAATACTGGTTAGTTGCTACTACAACACTGTATTCTGCTAATCACTGGTATCACTAGTTATATGCGAGTACACTGGCAAGCCAGGAAGATTATTAAAAACAGCTGACCTGTGGTAAGTTCTGGCGACTTCTGGCACCTGCCTCTATAGGCTTATCACTTCATTTACAAATTCACCTGTTTTCAAATGTTGTGTTGTATTCTTTTTTATATACTTGAAGTACTTTTCCATTTTTTCCTTGTTGTGTGCAATATATAAGCAGTATAAACTTGTGTTTACACTTCACAGTTATATTGTGTTCACAGTACTGTGTTCCTTGCCTAGTAATTTATGCAGTGAAGTATTTCAGTACTTTGTTATCTTATATTTTGCATCACAATGATGTGTTGTCTCAGTTAATTTTTTTTCCCCAGCATTAGTGTATTCTTGCTGTTTTTGTATTAATTCTTTTCACATTTTACTGTGTGTTGAACATTCTTTTGTGCTAATTCTTTTATTTAGTCAGTGTCTAATATGTCCTATCTCCACAGACAATAGTGCCATTATTTTGTTGAAGCAAGAGAATTATTTTCCAATTTTTGTCTACACAAGACCTTATTGCAAGAAAATTCTCATATTATTGTGTATATATTGATGTGTTTTGTTCCAGCATTATTGTAAGTGCTCACCTTTCTCTGTTTTGCATTTTTGCCTTTTATTAGTATTCATGTTTCATTGAACAAATTCAGTAAGTGTTGCTTAAGCTGCAGTTAACAGTTAAAGTGTTCAGTCAGTTCATTCCTTGATAATTTTTTTTTATTGTTTGTGTAAACTGCATTTACTTGTGTGTGCAATTTTTTTTTACTGCAGTATTACCTCATTCTGCAATGATTCTTGTGCAATTATTGTGCTGCCATTCTTTCTTTCAGAAAATTTTTTATGTAGTGTTGTGTTGTGCAGTACTTTTTGATTAGTAATTGTTCATTGCAATATTGCTACAGTTTATTTCAGTACAATATTCTGTGATTTCAGTTTTACATTTCTTGTTCTGTGCATAATATTTTATTCTTTGTGTCTCACTTTATTTTTTTTTTAGAGCATTGCTTTCCCAGTCCATTTTAACTTTGCACAAGATTTTATTCTATTTTATCATTTTTGAATGATTTATCATTTATTGTTGAATTTCTTTATTGAATTGAGAGTAAAGACAACTAACTGTGCCATTAATTCAAATTAAAGGAATTCAATCCTCCCAAAGACAATAACCATTCTGCATATGTAAATCTTACCCTCACAGAGTTGGGTTTAAATGTACATAGCCTGTACAATTAGATGTTCAAGTTGTATTAAGTTGTCCACTGTGTGTTTATTATTAGCTGATCAGTTTTTCAGAATTTTTTTTTGTGTTCACGTGTCCTCCAAATTCTGAGAATTTAGCAGTAATGATCTGAGCGTGCCAGATCTGCCTTTGCTGTTAATTACTTTCACCTTTGTAAATATATATATTCTTCCTCAGAATCCATAGAGTGCATGAATACAGATCGATCGATCAACTCCATCCTTTATTATACTATGATTTGTACTTATAATTCATAATGTGTTATGTTAACACCCATTATGTTAACACCCATTATGTTAACACACATTATGATACCATCCATTAGTTCTAAGTTACACATGTCTTTGCTATTGTATAGAATCTGCCCAGAGCCACCTGCCTGTTCAGCCTATAGCATAGTATTGTATGTCAAGACGACATACATAACATGACTGAGCTGTCAGCATAGTTGCTGATCCCCTGTATATGTATATGTTATCTGAGTATCATAGCTAGTACCATCCATATGTTTTACATAGTTGACCCCTTGCTAGGCTCAGTGACTAGCCTGTGTGACGACACGTGATGCCACATGAGAGCGCTGTGCTCCCGGCCTCGTCCTCACTCCGCGCTTAGGTCTATGACAGGCAACACAGGCAGTCTGGGCTCCCCTCTCACACTCTGCTAATGTAAGTGTTACCATCCAACGACTGTGTTTAACTCCAACCATCACATCTCCACGAACCCTCCCGACACAAGGAGTTGGATCTAACCTCCCTTTTGAATCGAATTCGACTGTCTCACCCCTACGGACATAGCGCTTCCCCCTTATAGTAATTAACTCTATATGATTACCTTATGAACATACAATGAATTATTTGTGCTTGGTCTCAAGAAGCATCTCCCCGGCCTACCGGTCTCAGACTAGGCCTACCAGTCCCAGCCTAGGCCTACCAGTCCCAGACTAGGCTTAACTTGGAAGGAAAATATTAAAGAATTACGACCTATTACGGAACACAATAGGATGGAAATAATACAGTGCCTATGAGCAATTTAATATTCATTTTATGCATAGTATTGGAGGGTGACAGCAGTGCTGCTGGAGGGTGACAGCAGTGCTGCTGGAGGGTGACAGTGCTGCTGGAGGGTGACAGCAGTGCTGCTGGAGGGTGACAGTGCTGCTGGAGGGTGACAGCAGTGCTGCTGGAGGGTGACAGTGCTGCTGGAGGGTGACAGCAGTGCTGCTGGAGGGTGACAGTGCTGCTGGAGGGTGACAGCAGTGCTGCTGGAGGGTGACAGTGCTGCTGGAGGGTGACAGCAGTGCTGCTGGAGGGTGACAGTGCTGCTGGAGGGTGACAGTGCTGCTGGAGGGTGACAGCAGTGCTGCTGGAGGGTGACAGTGCTGCTGGAGGGTGACAGCAGTGCTGCTGGAGGGTGACAGTGCTGCTGGAGGGTGACAGTGCTGCTGGAGGGTGACAGCAGTGCTGCTGGAGGGTGACAGTGCTGCTGGAGGGTGACAGCAGTGCTGCTGGAGGGTGACAGTGCTTCTGGAGGGTGATAGCAGTGCTGCTGGAGGGTGACAGTGCTGCTGGAGGGTGACAGCAGTGCTTCTGGAGGGTGACAGTGCTGCTGGAGGGTGACAGTGCTGCTGGAGGGTGACAGCAGTGCTGCTGGAGGGTGACAGTACTGCTGGAGGGTGACAGCAGTGCTGCTGGAGGGTGACAGTGCTGCTGGAGGGTGACAGCAGTGCTGCTGGAGGGTGACAGTGCTGCTGGAGGGTGACAGTGCTGCTGGAGGGTGATAGTGCTGCTGGAGGGTGACAGCAGTGCTGCTGGAGGGTGACAGCAGTGCTGCTGGAGGGTGACAGCAGTGCTGCTGGAGGGTGACAGCAGTGCTGCTGGAGGGTGACAGTGCTGCTGGAGGGTGACAGTGCTGCTGGAGGGTGACAGTGCTGCTGGAGGGTGACAGTGCTGCTGGAGGGTGACAGTGCTGCTGAAGGGTGACAGTGCTGCTGGAGGGTGACAGTGCTGCTGGAGGGTGACAGTGCTGCTGGAGGGTGACAGTTCTGCTGGAGGGTGATAGTGCTGCTGGAGGGTGACAGTGCTGCTGGAGGGTGACAGCAGTGCTGCTGGAGGGTGACAGTGCTGCTGGAGGGTGACAGTGCTGCTGGAGGGTGACAGCAGTGCTGCTGGAGGGTGACAGCAGTGCTGCTGGAGGGTGACAGCAGTGCTGCTGGAGGGTGACAGCAGTGCTGCTGGAGGGTGACAGTGCTGCTGGAGGGTGACAGCAGTACTGCTGGAGGGTGACAGTGCTGCTGGAGGGTGACAGTGCTGCTGGAGGGTGACAGCAGTGCTGCTGAAGGGTGACAGTGCTGCTGGAGGGTAACAGTGCTGCTGGAGGGTGACAGTGCTGCTGGAGGGTGACAGCAGTGCTGCTGGAGGGTGACAGCAGTGCTGCTGGAGGGTGACAGCAGTGCTGGTGGAGGGTGACAGCAGTGCTGGTGGAGGGTGACAGTGCTGCTGGAGGGTGACAGCAGTGCTGCTGGAGGGTGACAGCAGTGCTGCTGGAGGGTGACAGTGCTGCTGGAGGGTGACAGCAGTGCTGCTGGAAGGTGACAGCAGTGCTGCTGGAGGGTGACAGCAGTGCTGCTGGAGGGTGACAGCAATGCTGCTGGAGGGTGACAGTGCTGCTGGAGGGTGACAGCAGTGCTGCTGGAGGGTGACAGCAGTGCTGCTGGAGGGTGACAGTGCTGTTGGAGGGTGACAGCAGTGCTGCTGGAGGGTGACAGCAGTGCTGCTGGAGGGTTACAGCAGTGCTGCTGGAGGGTGACAGCAGTGCTGCTGGAGGGTGACAGCAGTGCTGCTGGAGGGTGACAGCAGTGCTGCTGGAGGGTGACAGCAGTGCTGCTGGAGGGTGACAGCAGTGCTGCTGGAGGGTGACAACAGTGCTGCTGAAGGGTGACAGCAGTGCTGCTGAAGGGTGACAGCAGTGCTGCTGGAGCGTGACAGTGCTGCTGGAGGGTGACAGCAGTGCTGCTGGAAGGTGACAGCAGTGCTGCTGGAAGGTGACAGCAGTGCTGCTGGAGGGTGACAGTAGTGCTGCTGGAGGGTGACAGCAATGCTGCTGGAGGGTGACAGTGCTGCTGGAGGGTGACAGCAGTGCTGCTGGAGGGTGACAGCAGTGCTGCTGGAGGGTGACAGCATGCTGCTGGAGGGTGACAGCAGTGCTGCTGGAGGGTGACAGCAGTGCTGCTGGAGGGTTGACAGCAGTGCTGCTGGAGGGTGACAGCAGTGCTGCTGGAGGGTGACAGCAGTGCTGCTGGAGGGTGACAGCAGTGCTGCTGGAGGGTGACAGCAGTGCTGCTGGAGGGTGACAGCAGTGCTGCTGGAGGGTGACAGCAGTGCTGCTGGAGGGTGACAGCAGTGCTGCTGGAGGGTGACAGCAGTGCTGCTGGAGGGTGACAGCAGTGCTGCTGGAGGGTGACAACAGTGCTGCTGAGGGTGACAGCAGTGCTGCTGAGGGTGACAGCAGTGCTGCTGGAGGGTGACAGCAGTGCTGCTGGAGGTGACAGCAGTGCTGCTGGAGGGTGCACAGATGCTGCTGGAGGTACAGCATCGCTACTGGGGTCACAACATGCTCTGCAGTGAAGGGGGTTCATAGTTGAAAATTATTTGTTCAGTCTATCTAAGATAGATGACGAGGTCCTTACTGTGGTTACTGAACTGGTGTTTTATAGTCGAACACGTACGTGGGGTTGCTGGAGAAGTAGAGAGGAGTGATCCTTGTTACTGATGTGGGGATGTTATGGGAGGTGACAGCCTCTTGGCTGTACGTCCCAGGGACAGTTTCTGAACAACAGGAGTTAATGTATATGTTTACATTGCGTGCATAAGTAATTTTCCATTAAAAAATCTTTAATGTGAGAAACCGTAAGATTGCGTTTGAGGCGTTCGTCAACGGCGCTCTTGCTGGTCATACCAGTGGGGTCGGTATGTATCTGCGGCTCTTACATTGGTGTTATTGAGAAGTATGAAGGATACTGAAGAAAACTGAGTACATGGCAAACTGGGTAGTCTTATTGTAGCGTATCGCCAACCAGTGGCATTTTCAATACGAATTCAGGAATTTAATTTGAAGACGAAGACTATGTACAAAAGATGAAGTAATCATTCCACTCAGTCTTAGGGTGAAGAGCACCGTAGTCGTGAAATTCTGAGCAGGTCAAGGAGGCTGCCTTATGTACACGTCAGATGGAGTGGGACGGTACAGACGAGGGCAGGTCACTGTACGGATCCCAGTGAAGTAGTTCATTCCAAATGGATGGTAATTGTAGTAGCTGTGAAGGGTTCTTCACACCAACACCAAGGCTGAGAGACTAATTACCTCATCTTTTGTACATCGTTCTTGTCTTCAAATTATGTCCTAGAATTTGTATTGATAAAGCCACTGGTTGGCGAAACGTCTACAATAAAGATACCCAGATGCTGCACATGTTTCTTAGTTTTCATCATGTCGGTAATGTATACCATTCTTGTACAAGGATACATGAAGTTGAGGTGCGAGAGCAGTGTCTCGCTGTGAACATCTCTACACAAGCGAGAGGAACATAGCGAGACACTTCTTGCAAGTCTCGTGTCTTGCTGAGAAGCATCACTGGGCGAATCATCATCCAGTGAGACTATTGTGAAGCACCGTACACTACCTCTCGCCCAGTCATCGTAAGAAGCATCACTGAAACATCCCCTAATAACACTCCACTGTGAGGCATCGTACACTACATCTCGCCCAGTCATCGGTAAGAGAAAAACGCTGAGGCAGCTCACACCGGGAAGTACAGGAAGACTTCGTTTACAAAAGAGGTGACCTTGTTTGGGGTATAGAGCACTGAGGTACCTTGATGCCTCTGAAGGGCTCTTGAGTCAAGGAATTGAAACCATATTTCCCTCTGATTTATCTTCATTGCTACCCATTTTGCAGGTGCTGTATGACCCCTACGGATTTAACACTTCCCCATAAATGCAATAATACCTCCACTCCCCTCCCTAGGATGCTACCCACAACTGGCGACTAACACCCAGGTGCATATTTACTGTAAGGTGAACAGTAGGTGTAAGGACACTTGCCCATAGGTCTAGGCTCGCCAGGGGATCGAACGCGGGTCTCTTCGGTTGTGAGAAGAAAACTCTATGAATTGATAAATAAATTCAGCAGAAAATGTGAGAAATTTATTATTGAAACGAAAATAAGGTTGCGAGTGCTGTAGTAATACAGACAAACTGTTAAAGGATTGTACACAAATAACCCGCACATAGGAGAGAGGCGCTTACGACTGACACTGACTTTGTAAATGGTCCAAGTCGGACCGAAACGTCGTCGTAAGCTCCTCTCTTCTATGTGCTGGTTATTTGTGTATTGCTCCAGTCACGGTATTGTGCCTTTTTTTGTTATTTGTTAAAGGACTTGTGTACAGTTTTCATTAAATGAAACGTTTCACCACGAGTCCTGACGAAGCCACTCCTGAAACTTTGACAAATATTCAGAACTGTACAAAAGTGGCCAACAGTAACCGTAAGGTTAATCAGGTTCTGATCCACCAGGAGGCCTGGTCAGGGACCAGGCTGCGGGGGCGCTGACCCCCGGAACACCCTCCAGGTATATCACAAACCAAAATCAACATGAGTCTTCCGCAGAAAGTGCTGAAGACGGTACACCACAAGCACAGTTCTCAGTATTTAACTTCAAAGAGGTAATTGCGAACTAAATGAGATGTAAATGTTTTAAAAATCCAACAGATTAAAGAATTAGACACTTTTGTAACATTTGATAATCTCATTGTGGAAACATTTCGCCAAGAAGAGGCTTCCTTAGTCCAGTACAGAGATGAATGGTGGAAGATAAGAATGAGTGAGGTAATCAGTCCCTCAGCCTTGGATCGAAGTGTTCAGTCCAAGGTTAATGGGCTGAACAAATTTGCCCAAGTCTGAGGAACTAATTACCTCAAACTCCTTCTCATCTTCCACCATTTATCTCTGTACCGGACTGAGGAAGCCACTTGTTGGAGAAATGTTTCCACAATAAAGATTATCAAATGTTACAAATCTTCACAAACGAGGCAGAAGCAGACCTGTGTGATTCCAGCGTTGGTAAACGTGACTGAAACCTTGCCATTCTTGTCACCCATCATCCATTTACCTTCCAGCGACGACCCACTCTTTGTCAAGTTCACCTGCGGGAGGAATAATAAGGTTCAACTTGCATATGTATGACATACAATACAGACACGATGACGAATTAGACATGTGCTTCATCGGGGTATCTTTACTGTAGACATTTCCCAAAACCAGTGGCTTTATAAAAAATTCAAGGACGTCTTGGAAGACTAGACGAGGTAACCAGTTCCTCAACCATGGAGTTGAAGAGCACCGTAGTCTAAGAATCTCAAAAAAAAAAAAACGGTGATCCTCACCAAGGCTGAGGGCTAACTACCTGGAGTTTACCTGGAGAGAGTTCCGGGGGTCAACGCCCCCGCGGCCCGGTCTGAGACCAGGCCTCTGGTTCCCGTGCCGGGAATCGAACCCGGGCCTCGCGGGTGAGAGCCGCGTATACCTGTTCTTTTCTATATACTGTACTTGTAGTATCCCACGATGTTCTTAACTTGTTTTGATCAAGTCAATGGCTGGCGAAACTTCTACATTTAAGATACTCAGAAATTGCACATTCATCTAATTCTTCAAGACTTAACTTTTAATGGTAGAATTGACTAAATGTTAGATAAAAGGACAGATGCAACTAATGTGACATTTTATTGTGGCAATGTTTCGCCAAAATATTATGTGACATTAGTTTCACATGTGTTCTTTTACCTAACAATGTTCAACTCAATGTTACCTTCATATTCACCTAAGATTATGAAAATCCCTTTACCATATTTAACATTTTATTTGGTCATCCCTCAGTGTAATCCAGACAACAGAGTTCTTGTGATAGTTTAAAAAAACGGACAAGTTGAAGATTGAGACACTTATGCAATATATGGGAATCTTTATTGAGGAAACGTTTCGCCAAACACTGGCTTCATCAGTCCAATACAAAGCAGACAGGTGTCAGGAGAGTAGGAGTTTGAGGTAATCAGTCCTCATCCCGCTTCGCCTCACCTGACTACAATATATAAGCCATGTCTACGGCTCTATGCTGTGCATTCTACAAGACTGATGGACTGAACACATCGACTCCAGGCTGAGGGAATGATTACCTCATTCTCCTCCTGTTCTTGAAGATTCTCCTTTGTATGGACTGATGAAGCCACTGTGTGGCGAAACGTTTCCTCAATAAAGATACCCAAGTGTTGCACATGTGTCTAATTTATCAACTGTGGTTTATGTCCTTGTCTATTTCGGATATAAGAATGAGAAATGGAGGTGGAGCGAGTACTGTCCCTTGAGGAACAGAGGGTTTTCATTGTAATAGACTCGGACTTCACTGTTTACTGCTACTCTTCCATTAAGAGGTTAAATGTCCATCTGCCTTCTGTACCAGTTATTCCTTTTACACTCATTTATTACGCTGTCACACCGTGGTCACACTTGTCAAAGGCTTTTGCGAAATCAATGTACACAACATGAGAATTGATTTTATCTTCGAGTGCATCGAAGACCATATCGAAATGTTCCAGCAGTTCTGAAAGATAGGAATGAAACGTTCCAAACCCTGGATTGTGCAGTTGTTGCGATTTTATGTGACTGGAAATCTTAGGACCCATTGAAAGATTTTGATAAACTGAAGCTAGTGTTATTAGTCCATACTGAAGCAATTGCTTTACTGCCTTCTTTGTTAAATGGGACAATATTAAGTGGTTTTCAATAAATGGAAGGACATCTATGTCCAGGTCCCCATAAAATAGTAGAGGCATCAGAATAATTTCTTGTCAGTTTTGATTAACGTGGAGTTCCACAAGGCTGGCCCAGGAGCAGAATGCATGAGCATGCTGTCAACGGCTTCTCCAGTCACCCTGGAAGACTGCTACATCAAATATTATTAGGGTGTCAGTGGTGTTTTGAGTCTAGTTTGTGAACAAATCTTTGATGATCGATCTGTAGACTCATGAGTAGTTCACTGAACAGTCGTATTATGACTTAATAATAATAATAATAATATATGTACTACAAGTACATATACAAGGTATACAGACCTTGATGACATCATGACATACTACTATATAGAAAGTTGCTTGCTATGCAGAGCACTTCGGGCAAATTAGGTCAGTTTTGTCCCAGGATGCGACTCACACCAGTCGACTAACACCCAGGTACCCATTTTAAACTGATGGGTGAACAGGAACAGGGACAGCAGGTGTCTTATGGAAACACGTCCCAAATGTTTTCCAGCCGTACCGTAGTAGATTCGAACCCCTGACGTCAGTGTGTGAGCTGAGTGCACTAGCGATCGAGCTACGGGACACTTTAAGTATTTAGCTTATTCCCTTACCATTTTCAGTGTATTTAAGTCCCTATACTGAACGAGCTATTAGCCTTTGAGTTTGGGATTTCTTCTAATTTCGTTACTGGAGCTTTGCTGCCTGACTCTCCTGAACTAATGTGCAGTCGGTTTATACTTAGTGATGTCGGATGATGCTGCGTGTGTGTGTGTGTGTGTGTGTGTGTGTGTGTGTGTGTGTGTGTGTGTGTGTGTGTGTGTGTGTGTGTGTGTGTGTGTGCGTGTGTGTGTGTGTGTGTAAGTGTGTGTAAGTGTGTGTAAGTGTGTGTGTGTGTTTGTGTGTATTTGTAATCAACTATAATTGTACTCACCTAATTGTGGTTGCAGGGGTCGATTCATAGTTCTTGGCCATGCCGCTTCATTTACTGCCACTAGGTCCACTGTCTCCCTGCTTAATTAGCTTAATCATACCTCTTCTTAAAGCTATGTATGGTACCTGCCTCCACTACCTCACTTTCCAGACTATTCCACTTCCTGACAACTCTATGACTGAAGAAATCCTTTCTAGCATCCCTGCTATTCTGTGGTGGGTTATACATCACTGCAATCACAACCCTAGGACCTCCTGTCTGAAGTGTTCCTAATTATGTAGTTCCATCCTTCTCCTCTGCCTCCTCTCTCCAGTTCCTCAAAATTCCATTGTCTTTCCTCAGGATCTGATATCCAATTGGTAAGATGGTGCTTGCTATCAGCCCTGTGAGTTTGGTTTCTGGTGATGCCTCAGATTTTTTCATGCTACTCCTTCCACTTATTTATTATTCCATCAGCGTTGGTACACCATATTTTCATTTTCCTCTCCAATACTGTATTCTGGGGGGTTTGTGGAGGCTGTGGTAGTGGGGGACCTGGCAAGGTGCTATGGGATTCTACAGTGTAGTGTGGGGTGGGGGCTGTGAATGTTGAGATAGTATGTTTGGCTGTGGGATTCTGAGGGTGATTCTGTGGGTGGTTGTGCCTGTTGCTCCACTCGATTCTAGTTGCCCTCTACTGACTCTAGGCTTGTCTCTCTTTCTTGTCCCTTCCGTCTCTGTATCCTCTCTCTCAGCTGCTGTTGCCCTGTTCTCATTCTGTCACTGACTAGGAATACTTTCCGATACTTCATTGATTCCTTTAGGTGTAGTTTTTCCTGCAGGATCATGTTCCTCACTGTTTCAGTCTTGAAAATCAGTGTGACTGGCCGATTTCTCTCCTTCGAGTACCCCTCTATTTTCTGAAAATTTATTATCTTATTCATATCTTCTTCTGTTTGATATTTTCAACCTCTTGTTTTTCTTTCTGCCATCTTTCATCATATGTCCTCCCTTTGCTCTCCTGAATCCTATGAATATTTCTGATCTCTCTCTCTCCTCCTCACATTGCTTTTCCTTCTGCATCTCTGGTTCCCATTTATACATTGCCATTTCCTCCCTTCTTATTTCCCATATGTCCTGGTGAACTGGCTGTGCTTCTGTTTGGGGCCTGCCATCTCTGCCTACTTCTCTGTCCACAGTTACTGCTGTCCCCTTGCCCAACATTGCTCCCTCTCATTCCTCGACCTTGCCTGGTGGCCTGATAGAGCCTCAAGGTATGTCTTGTCTCCTTTCCTTTGAACCCCTTGTTAGATATTGGTGTACCTCTTTCAGATGCCATATCCCCTCTGGTCGTTGGCCCTGTCTCTCTCTTCAGCATGTTTACTCCCTATTCTAGAGCCTATATCTTGGGTTTTGCAGCTTCAGTTCACAGCTCCTATTTCTTCTTTGCCTCCATCCTTTTCTCCATTTTTGCAATAAGCTCACCTAGTTTGTTTTCCCAGTCTTGTTCCATCCTTTTCAATAGCTCTTCTATCCATTCTTCCTTTCCAGACCCATCTTCCTCTGGTCCCCTGAGTCTTCGACTTTCCCTCTGGGGCCCCATTTTTTATTTATAATGAGCTAGGCTTCGTACGTACTGTGTATATGTACTCACTTAATTGTACTCGCCTAATTGTGGTTGCAGGGGTGAAAACTCAGATCTTGACCCCGCCTCTTCATTGAACGCTATTAGGTCCTCTCTCTCCCTGCTCCATGTGCTTTATCATACCTCGTCTTCCAGCTATGTATGGTTTCTGCCTCCACTATATCACTTGCTGGACTATTTCACTTCCTGACTACTCTATGACTGAAGAAATACTTCCTAACATCCCTTTGACTCATCTGAGTCTTCAACTTCCAAGCGTGACCCCTTGTTTAAGTATCCCACCTCTGGAACATCTGTCTTTGTCCACCTTGTCCATTACACGCAGTATTTTGTATGTCGTTTTCATGTCTCCCCTAACCCTCCTGTCCTCCAATGTCGCCAGGCTGATTTCCCGTAACCTTTCATCGTAGGACATTCCCCTTAGCTCTGGAATTAATCTTGTCGCAAACCTGTCCAGCCTGTCCAGGTCTCTTTGAAGTCCTGCCTGATCCTCATCTGATTTAATTCTCCTTATTAACTTCACAACATCTGCAAACATGGACACTTCTGAGTCTATCCCTTCCATCATGTCATTCATATACAACAAAACTAGCACTGGTCCTAGGACTGACCACTGTGGGACCCCGCTTGTCATAGATGCGCATTGTGACACCTCATCACGTACCATGACTCGCTGTTGTCTCCCTGTCAGGTATTCTCTGATCCATTGCAGTGTCCTTCCTGTTATACACACCTGATCCTCTAGCTTCTACACTAATCTCTTGAGAGGAACTGTGTCGAGGGCCTTCTTGCAGTCCAAGAAAATGCAATCAACCCACCCCTCTCTCTCGTGTCTTACTTCTGTTATTTTATCATAAAACTCCAGAAGGTTTGTGTACAGGATTTGCCTTCCATAAATCCGTGCTGGTTGTCGTTTATGCTCTTTGTTCCATTCCAGGTGTTCCACACTCTCCTCCTGATAATCTTCTCAATGACTTTGTATACTATACATGTCAGTGACACTGATCTATAGTGTAGTGCCTCGTTTCTGTCTCCTTTTTTAAAAATGGGGACTACATTTGCCGTCTTCCATACCTAAGGTAGTTGCCCAGTTTCAAGGGATGTGTTGAAGATTGCGGTTAGAGGCACACACAGCGTTTCTTCTCCCTCTCTACGGACCCACGGAAGAGATGTTGTCATGTCCCATTGGCTTTGAGATATCAATGTCCCTTAGCAACTTCTTCACCTCCTCATCAATTGCGTGTATGTCTGACTCACGAAATCGTAATAACATGATTGCAAACAAACCATACCACGGGCGGAGATAGAGCCCGTGATCAGAGAGTCTCAAAACTCCAGACCGTCGCGTTAGCCACTAGTCCAGTGGCTAACACGACGGTCTGGAGTTTTGAGACTATCTGATCGCGGGTTCTATCCCTGCCCTTTGCATGGTTTGGTGTGTATGTCATCCAACACTTGGTATACTCCTTGTTGGTGTCCCCGCTCTGTTCTGTCTTCCCAGTCTTTCCTGTCTCCACTGTAAATACTTCCTAAAATCTCGTATTGAGCTCCTCACATACCTCTTGATCTCACATACCTCTTGATCGTTTCTTGTGAGATCCCCACCTTCCTAGTCTTTGACTGTTGTCGTCTTCCTAATGTGGCTATACAGCAATTTCGGGTCAGACTTGACTATCGATGCTATGTCGCATTCGTTTGTCGCTGGGCCTCCCTCCTTATCTGTGCATACTCGTTTCTGGCTCTTCATGTGTGTGTGTGTGTATGTGTGTGTGTGTGTGTGTGTGTGTGTGTGTACTCACCTAGTTGTACTCACCTAGTTGAGGTTGCAGGGGTCGAGTCCGAGCTCCTGGCCCTGCCTCTTCACTGGTCGCTACTAGGCCACTCTCCCTGAACCGTGAGCTTTATCATACCTCTGCTTAAAGCTATGTATGGATCTTGCCTCCACTACATCGCTTCCCAAACCATTCCACTTGACTACTCTGTGGCTGAAGAAATACTTCCTAACATCCCTGTGATTCATCTGTGTCTTCAACTTCCAACTGTGTCCCCTTGTTACTGTGTCCAATCTCTGGAACATCCTGTCTTTGTCCACCTTGTCAATTCCTCTCAGTATTTTGTATGTCGTTATCATGTCCCCCCTATCTCTCCTGTCCTCCAGTGTCGTCAGGTTGATTTCCCTTAACCTCTCCTCGTAGGACATACCTCTTAGCTCTGGGACTAGTCTTGTTGCAAACCTTTGCACTTTCTCTAGTTTCTTTACGTGCTTGGCTAGGTGTGGGTTCCAAACTGGTGCCGCATACTCCAATATGGGCCTAAAGTACACGGTGTACAGAGTCCTGAACGATTCCTTATTAAAGTGTCGGAATGCTGTTCTGAGGTTTGCTAGGCGCCCATATGCTGCAGCCGTTATTTGGTTGATGTGCACTTCAGGAGATGTGCCTGGTGTTATACTCACCCCAGTATCTTTTTCCTTGAGTGAGGTTTGTAGTCTCTGGCCCCTAGACTGTACTCCGTCTGCGGTCTTCTTCGCCCTTCCCCAATCTTCATGACTTTGCACTTGGTGGGATTGAACTCCAGGAGCCAATTGCTGGACCAGGTCTGCAGCCTGTCCAGATCCCTTTGTAGTTCTGCCTGGTCTTCGATCGAGTGAATTCTTCTCATCAACTTTATGTCATCTGCAAACAGGGACACCTCAGAGTCTATTCCTTCCGTCATGTCGTTCACAAATACCAGAAACAGCACTGGTCCTAGGACTGACCCCTGTGGGACCCCGCTGGTCACAGGTGCCCACTCTGACGCCTCGCCACGTACCATGACTCGCTGCTGTCTTCCTGACAAGTATTCCCTGATCCATTGTAGTTCCTTCTCTGTTATCCCTGCTTGGTCCTCCAGTTTTTGCACTAATCTCTTGTGTGGAACTGTGTCAAACGCCTTCTTGCAGTCCAAGAATATGCAATCCACCCACCCCTCTCTCTGTCTTACTGCTGTCACCATGTCACAGAACTCCAGTAGGTTTTTGACACAGGATTTCCCGTCCCTGAAACCATGTTGGCTGCTGTTGATGAGATCATTCCTTTCTAGGTGTTCCACCACTCTTCTCCTGATAATCTTCTCCATGATTTTGCATACTATATATGTCAGTGACACTGGTCTGTAGTTTAGTGCTTCATGTCTGTCTCCTTTTTTAAAGATTGGGACTATATTTGCTGTCTTCCATGCCTCAGGCAATCTCCCTGTTTCGATAGATGTATTGAACATTGTTGTTAGGGGTACACATAGCGCCTCTGCTCCCTCTCTCAGGACCCATGGGGAGATGTTATCTGGCCCCATTGCCTTTGAGGTATCTAGCTCACTCAGAAGCCTCTTCACTTCTTTCTCGGTTGTGTGCACTGTGTCCAGCACTTGGTGGTGTACCCCACCTCTCCGTCTTCCGGGAGCCCCTTCTGTCTCCTCTGTGAACACTACTTTGAATCTTTTGTTGAGTTCCTCACATACTTCACGGTCATTTCTTGTTGTCTCTCCTCTTTCCTTCCTTAGCCTGATTACCTGGTCCTTGACTGTTGTTTTCCTCCTGATGTGGCTGTATAACAGTTTCGGGTCAGATTTGGCTTTCGCTGCTATGTCTTTTTCATATTGTCGTTGGGCCTCCCTTCTTATCTGTGCATATTCGTTTCTGGCTCAACGACTGCTCTCCTTATTCTCCTGGGTCCTTTGCCTTCTATATTTCTTCCATTCCCTAGCACACTTGGTTTTTGCCTCCCTGCACCTTTGGGTGAACCATGGGCTCATCCTGGCTTTTTCATTATTCCTGTTACCCTTGGGTACAAACCTCTCCTCAGCCTCCTTGCATATTGTTGCTACATATTTCATCATCTCATTAACTGGCTTCCCTGCCAGTTCTCTGTCCCACTGAACCCTGTTCAGGAAGTTCCTCATTCCCATGTAGTCCCCTTTCTTGTAGTTTGGCTTCATTCGTCCTGGCCTTCCTGCTTCTCCATCCACTTGTTGCTCTACTGTGTATTCGAAGCTTAAAACCACATGATTGCTGGCCCCAAGGGGTCTTTCATATGTGATGTCCTCAATATCTGCACTACTCAAGGTGAATACTAAGTCCAGTCTTGCTGGTTCATCCTCTCCTCTCTCTCTTGTAGTGTCCCTTACGTGTTGGTACATGAAGTTTTCCATCATCTTAGTCCTCCATGTATCTTGACCCCCATGTGGCTCCAAGTTCTCCCAGTCGATCTCCTTGTGGTTAAAGTCGCCCATGATCAGGAGCTTTGCCCTGCATGCATGAGCTCTTCTGGCCACTGCAGCCAGTGTGTGTGTGTGTGTGTGTGTGTGTGTGTGTGTGTGTGTGTGTGTGTGTGTGTGTGTGTGTGCCCGCGCCCGCGCCCGCGCCCGCTTCCCTGGAGTGAGGTTCCTTGAAGACAGTGAGTGGTTATTGATAAAAGGAATTGAACCAATTCTCCTCCTTGGATCGAACCTGCTTACCTTCCATTCCCCAAGCAATAAAGCATTCCCTCTAAATAATAAATTCCTAATAAAGGTTGCTGCTGTAGTAATGTGTTTGAAGTGACAAACGTGACAGATTATGTGACGTGGTCAAGATAATGATCAGAAATTACCTATAGTTTAATACTACGGTAAGAACAAGATAATGTGCTATTAGAACAAGATAGTTTAGTACGTGCAAGATAGTATACTAACAGTGTACTTGAGTCCTCCTGCTAGTTCAGTCTTGGAGTCTTGGCCCGGTGTGATAATGTTTGTGAAATTCTTGTCACCAGCTGTGGTCTTTACCACCACTTGATCACCACTCTGGCTCACTTCCAAAGTAGGCTTGGCAGCTGTCAACTTAGCAGCACTGTCAGGTGGCACTCCTGCAACACGTAACCAACCTGTTACTCACTTAGGGTGATATATATATCCACCTGTACCAGACAGATCCAGTAGTGGGTTGGTACTTCACTATACAGTAATCTGTTTCGTAAAAAAGTGCACTAAACAATTGATGCAGGATTAGTGGACATTACTGACAGATTCTAGAAAGCCTCTGGCTATGTAGATCATTTCAGGCAGCCTTAAAATTATCTTATAACCAATGAATAATTTGTCGAGTTATTTTACAAGAATACTAAAGTTTACTATCTGACATGAACTCAAACACTGACGAATGATCTGGATATTGTTTTGTATTGTTATAATCATGGGGGAACTCTAAACCCGTAGGATTATACATATTGTTTTATAAACCAATTTATAACGTTTGTAGTTATTACGTATGTACTAATACTAATTCATATTTCTGTATGACTGTACCGGATATAATAATCTGAAGAACCATAGAATGCACAGCATCTCGAGCAAAACTTAAACTATATCGTACTTAATATTTGAAAAAAAAATCTGTTGGTCTAACAGTATTAATAACTTAAAGTAGATACAAGCTAAGAATTTAATTCGTAAATGTAATAAAATATAACTGGTATTAACAGGTTGACTGGTACGAGAAAACTCGGCCTGCAGTTTTACGACTTACTCACCGCGAGTTCAATCCCCACCCGTACCATGGTTTGTTTGCAATAGCGTCATTACGATTTCTTGAGTCATGGCTTGTACCAGTTACTTCAGTTACGACACAAAATTTAAATGGTGTATGTTGTGAGAATTATTTCTACACACCTGGATATAAGGAATTCCTCCCCCCCCCCCCCCAAAAAAAATAATGAATAAGAATATCAATGTAACAGTTGTGTGTGAAGGAAGACACTGTAGCATGTTCTTCACGTACACTGCGAGGGATGTATGTACACTAAGGGATGTACACCGAGGACGTAAAATGTGGGACGTACAATGTGGGGACTTACAAAGTTTTCCATATTTTTCGTCCCTTTAATTTACACAATTTCTTCAGATGTTCCAAGGCTCATGAGGTCGTCAGTCATTTGTTTTAGTGTGATGTTTGCTCTGTAATAATTTTCCAGGAAAGGTTCGTGCCACTATTACTGTGCAGCGATCTAGAAAATGGAGCTAACAGTAGTATGTATAAATGACATGTATATTTAGTAAGTTTAGGGACGTGAAAACAGGCAGAGTGACCTATAGGCCACAAACTTATTAATGAGAGCTTGTGACTGAGAGTTGTTTTGTTGGGTGATGATTCACTTCAGGTGAGTTGTTGAAGTGGATCCCTAGGAAGATATGCTCTGTGTTAGGTATAAGTTTAATGAAGGAAAAAGTAAAGTGCTTGTAGCCAATATTACGGAACATAATGGAATTTAGAGAGCTTGTTTACAGTCTTCGATACTTGTGTTGACGTATTGGAAATAAACACAAATATAAACTTTGTCATAGACCTAGGAATTTTCTCTTTTTATCTTATTTCGGTTTCATTGGTTCTAATGCCCGAGGGTCGCGATTTGTTCCATAATTTTAGATAGAATAGCAATCATCATTAGTTATGTATCTTATTAAGAAGGGATCTGCGCCTGAAATCACACGGGCTGTGATCAGCATGCTTACTGGGTTAGGTAGTTCACTGATACACTTATTGGAAACTATTAGGTACACATGTACGCCTCGTTAATGGCAGTACCTCAACGACTAAAAGGAGGCAGATATTGTCAAAAGGTTTACCTGGAGTTTACCTGGAGAGAGTTCCGGGGGTCAACGCCCCCGCGGCCCGGTCTGTGACCAGGCCTCCTGGTGGATCAGAGCCTGATCAACCAGGCTGTTGCTGCTGGCTGCACGCAAACCAACGTACGAGCCACAGCCCGGCTGATCAGGAACTGACTTTAGGTGCTTGTCCAGTGCCAGCTTGAAGACTGCCAGGGGTCTGTTGGTAATCCCCCTTATGTATGCTGGGAGGCAGTTGAACAGTCTCGGGCCCCTGACACTTATTGTATGGTCTCTTAACGTGCTAGTGACACCCCTGCTTTTCATTGGGGGGATGTTGCATCGTCTGCCAAGTCTTTTGCTTTCGTAGTGAGTGATTTTCGTGTGTTTAGTTGTTAAGACAGAACAGAAATGTGATCTAAGTGACAGTGGAATGATTGTTGGTGACAGACCAATTGATTTCAGTATCTCAAACTGCTAATCAGAGATTTTTACGCACAAGAGTCGAGAGTGGCATGTAAAACAAAACAGCCAGTGAGTGGCAGTTCTGTGGACGAAAACGCCTTGACAGAGGTCAGAGGAGAATGGCCAGATTGGTTCAAGCTGACACGAAGGAGACAGTAATTCAACTACGCTTTACAACAGTGGTATGCAGAAGAGCATCTTAATGCACAACACCTTGAAATGGATGGTCCACAAACAAAAGGCCATACCGGGTTCGTATCAGCTAAGAACAGACTCACCATAACTGCATAAATGAAGACTGGAAAAACGCCGCCTGGTCTGACGATTCGCGATTTCTGCTACGACATTAAGATAAAGATAAAAATAAATGTTCATTTCTTTGTAAAGGTTACAATGATACGATGAGAATTTGCCGTAAATTTCTGGGATGTGGTTGAACAGGAGATTAGCGGCATGAATGTGCAACCAAGAAATCTGCAGCAACTGCATTATGTTATGGTGTCAAAAGATCAGAACATCTAAGGAATGTTTCCAGCACCTTGTTGAATCTATGCCACTAAGAATTAAGGCTGTTTTGGGGGCGAATGAAAAGGCCTACATTCATAATAATCGTAATTTTTGGTGTAAAAACAAAAACATTTTCTCCTGCTGACAGAAACCAAAAAAAGTTACATTCTTGGAGAAGAACACATATAAACAAGGTATAAACAAGTGGGTTGGCATCAACATGTGGTCAGATTTACCCACTATTTTTCAGCTGCCGGTTAATGTATTATTTAATTATAGGTAAAGTTCTGGGTTAATGCATGTATGCATAAATGAGGTGTTAAAAATATTATGGTGTATAGAAATCAGGGTCAATTTGAATACATACACGACAAACTTGTTCAATATATAATATTAAAGAATCATCAGAAACTCACCCAGGGCGGTCAGCCACTCAGAGTAGAGCTCGTTAGAGCTGTGGACGTAAGTGCCAGCGATGGACATGATGGTGATGGTGTGTTGAGAGACTGAAGTAGTGTAACAAGTCTGACTGAGACTCTCCAACCCTCCACACCTGCCTTATATACACCAACACTAACCCCCCACTCTCCCCACCTCGTGCTTCACTACTACTACTACCACCACTACTACTACTACTACCACTACTACCATCAACACTACTGCTCCTACTCCCACTACCACCAATACCACCCCCACCAACACTGCCTCCACCATTATCACCACCACTGCTACCACCTCTACTACCAGTACCACCACTACTACCACTATCAACACCATCAACACTACCACCACTATCAACACTACTACCAATACCACTGCTACCATCAACACTACTACCGTCAACACTACCACCATCAACTACCAACACCATTACTGCCATCAACGCTACCACCACTACCAATATCAACACTACTATCACTACTACCACTGTCAACACTACCTCATCAACTACCACCACCACTACTACCACCAACACTACCACTACCATCACCACCACAACTGCCACAAACATCACCACCATGACTCACGAAATCGTAATGACACGATTGCAAACAAACCATACCACGGGTGGGGATAGAACCCGCGATCAGAGTCTCAAAACTCCAGACCATCGCGTTAGCCACTGGGCCAGCTAGCCACAATAAGATTCATCCAACTAGGTACATTTCTACACCATAGGAAGGTTAACATAGGCACCACTGTGACCACCACCATTGCTACCACCACCACTACTACCACCAATGCTAGCACCACCACTACCACCGCCACAACACTACCACTACCACCATCACTACCACCACCACCAGCATCACTACCACCACCACTACGACCAACATCACTACCACCACTATGACCAACACCAGTACCACCACGCAGCACCACTACCACCACTAGGACCATCACCACCATTACGAAACACCACCACTACCACCACTAGGACCATCACCAGCATTACCCAACACCACCACTACTACCATCACCACTATCGGACTTTGTTGTACTTAGTGGAGAATCATCAGTCAAGTGAACGCGTGTGTGACAAAGTGGCCGATTTAGCCGGTCACCGGATGCGGAAGTATTCGTGGCCAACGTCGCATGCGTGTTTCGTGCCATACGGACAGGTGTGGCAAGTACCACTGGGGAGTTTTGTCCCGTGTGGCGCACGTGCAACAATCATCAGGCGATGCCAAGCAGACTGCATTATTATTATAATCACAGGGAAGCACTAAACCCGTAGGATTATACAGCGCATGTGGAGGGATGGAAGGTATTCAGGCTCAATTCAGGGAGCTGGAGCACAGATCCAATTCCCGAGATCAAGAGCCCCTCACCAGCTTCAAGGAGTCTCCCTTGAGGAGCAAGCAGACGACAGAAGACGTGCCCAAGAGCATCTTATCATCTCACCTCTACAATGAAGCCACCGTGTACGGTGTCACTTTATTAAAGGTCCGATACATATACTCAACGTAAGTCCTTATCTGTCCGTCACTTTAACCGTTCAGCTGCTGCCGAAAGGTACACAGGCAGTCAGACAGGACGTCGTTACAAGTGGGACATTGTCCACAACCAGGTAATATTTTACCCTCGACATTCCATGTGATAAATATGAAACAGTAGCATAAGTAGTCTGTAGGAAAGTACTTACAGCTTTCATATGTTTTAAATATATATAAATTAAATCCATATTAACACTGGAGTAAATATACGTGATAAAGGTAGTGTGTACTTGTGTGTACTGGAGTGCCACTCCAGGTATCAGAAGGATACGTGGATTACGAACATATTCCAGTATATTTATTATGATTTTTTTTTATATTTTATTTAAAACATTACAATACATTAAATAAATAAAAGAACGCAGTATCGGATCTTCCTCAGAAATTATAAATTTTCATTGTTGAAATACAAACTGGACGTCTAACTTCGTGCTGACACAAACTGTCCCTCATCCCCTGTACTTTATACCCCTTTACACCTATACTAAATACAAGATTACACAATATTATACATTACATCAATCAAAATATATTACAATATACATTATTATTTTTATTATTATTATAAAAAAGAAGCGCTAAACCTACAATATGCATTAATATTTCAATTAGTGTACTTATCACTCGACTGATAAGTGTGTAATGTCATTACACAGAATTCCATTAAATTTACCTTATATTTTTTTTTATTTTATTTAAAACATCTTACAGTGTATACGTTATGCTATACATAAGCTCACTGAAGCCAAGAAACAAACTGTAAATAAAAACTCCAGATGAAATGCCCCAATACAAAAACAGTTCCACAATGAACACACATACCACCGACTGTAGCCATATCACACCCTCCATACCCTACCCACTGCTCCACATATATCTATATATATATACATACACAAACACTCACATACACAGCTATACATATACATACGTACAACTAACAATATGTAGCCCACACAATAACTTACAATTTGCATCATGAACATCACAATGATCAATACAAATCTATTTCAGGGCACATTTATATGAGGGAAGCCCCCACAAACACAGTGTCACAGTATATTGATTGTCCTCATCGCTCCCTGGCCGTCCGGACAGGCTGCGCAGTAGCTTCCGAATCATCTGGTTTTCTGCGCAGTTTTCCTGTTTTGAGCAATCAAAATGGCGGACAGACATGGACGCAGGGTAAATACTGTCTGTGTGGAGCTGGTACGTGGTACCCTGAGTAGTTCTACAATGCAGGTGATTCTGCCAAGTTTCATCCTCGATGTGTACGGCATACCGAACGACGAGTTGTATGGTGTAGCAGTGAATGGAGTGTCCAGGATCTTCATCAAGTTCAAGAGTGCCGGGTTTTACTCCAGCATAGTAGACGCATTCCAAGAAAAGAGGATGACCATTAATTCTGCAGTGGAGGTCTGCCTACATGACGTATCAAGCTATGTAACGTGGGTAAAGGTGAGAAATGTCCCCTTTGAGGCCTTGGAATATGATGTGGAGGTATTCAGTAGGTATGGCAAGATCCATTCGGCAGAGTTGGGAGTGTGGAAGGATGGGCCTTATATGGGGCTGCCAGAGGGATCTTTCACACTGAAGATGACATTGAGACAACCTATACCATCGTACGTTCTGATGGAAGAGTTCAGAACACAGGTTTATGTGTATTATGCAGGACAGCGTCGGACAAGTAGGCTGTGCGGGTCTTATGACCATATGGCGGCCCAATGTCATCAAAGGCAGAGACGGAGGGAACAGGCACCAACAACTGTGGAACGACGGCTGGGCTCCTTGGCGCCTGGGACAGGTGAAGCTGGAAGACAGGCGTCTGGAAGTTGGAGTGAAGAAGCAGACAGAGCGGAGTCGGAGTTGGGAGCGTGCGCCACGTTACCTGTGGGAACTGTGTCTGAGCGACCATCTATGGATGCGACTGTTGACAGAAGTGACTTACAACAGGATGGTCTGTTGGACGAGGTCTTGAAAGACTTCTTGGGGGAGGTGGAAGACAGTCAGGAAGGGGAGAAGGATGGAAGGGTATTGGAGGGGGTAGCAGTTGCACAGGAGTGTGAGAACACCTTGTGCAACGAGAGTAAGCAGCACACGGTGGTGGTTGAGGTGCACCAGGAGGACATGGATGCTGAGGCAACATGTGGAGGTGGCACACATAAGCGAGCAGCTGGGACGTCTGATATGGAAGATGTCTTAACGCCAGGGCAGAGATCTGGAAAGAAACCTTGGAAGACCATGCTAGATCTCTCGGGGAATGGTGGCACCGGTTCTGTGGTGCTGCAAGGGTCGAAGGAAAAGGGGGGGATCAGAGGGCTAGATAGACCAAGTGACAAACGTGGCTATAGTCAACAGCCACGTCTTTTGAGGAACCTTCAAAAGCGGCGGGGCAAGCCGCCTTTACTGTCATAATTCAAGGTTGTAACGATCAATGTTAATGGCCTGAGAGCCGAGGTTAAAAGAGTATGGGTGGAATGGTTTTTAAAGAGATTTAATGTAGATATATGTTTCATTCAGGAGCATAATTATAAGTTTGGTTGTGAGTTGTCTTTGAAAGGATATAAGTTGTATGTGAGTGGCTCGTTGAGGTTGAAAGGTGGGGTTGCTGTGGCTGTAAAGGAAACCAGTCCATTGCGTATTTTGGGGTGGGAGGAGGGGGGGAGGGTCGTGAGGGTGGAGGGAGAATGGGGTGCAACGAGGGTTTGTTTTATAGGAGTGTATATACCGGCGGATCGCAACACACGAGTCAAGGAGAACTTTGTGAGGGAATTTTTTGATGTACTATTTAAGGGGTTTACCTTTAGTCACACCCCTCAAGGAAGGTTCCTTGATGTTGGTGAGGGGCTCTTGATTTAGGGAATTGGATCTGTGCTCCAGTTCCCCGAATTAAGCCTGAATGCCTTCCACATCCCCCCCCCCCAGGCGCTGTATAATCCTCCGGGTTTAGCGCTTCCCCCTTGATTATAATAATAATAATAATACCTTTAGTCACTGTCATAGGGGGAGATTGGAATTGTGTTATTCGGGGTGAGGATGTGAAACCGAGGGGGGCGGGGTGTATGTTGGGCATGTTACGCAATGTGTTTGGAGATGTGGGGTTTTTGGATGTTGTGGGGAGAGGTGGTTGGCAGGTTGAGTATACGTTTGTCAGACGGGATTATGCTGCAAGATTAGATAGGATCTATGCAACGGAAGCTGTACGTGTGTTGGGAGTCAGGACTTTTGATGTGGGGTTTTCTGATCATAGGGCAGTTATAGCAGATCTTGATTGGGAGGGTATGGTTAGAATACAATCAGGTTTTTGGAAATTAAATGCAAGACTCGTGAGGAGTGAGGAGGTGAGTATGGCTTTTGGGGAATGGTGGCAAACTTTTTGGGATTCTAGAGAGGTAGAGTCATGTGTCTTAGAATGCTGGGAAAGGCACGCTAAGCCGGGTATAGCAGGCTTCTATAAAAGGAAGGGAAGGGAAGAGGCAGGGTGGAGGTATGGGTTGCAAAATTATTTTGAATATCAGCTAAATGGGTGTTATGAGGAAGGGGGGGGCGGCAGTACGGAAACATGG